TGTGGGCGGCAGTGGAGGCAGAGGTTGCGGTGGGTTGCGGCTATGGAGTGCGGCTTGCTGTGGAGTGCGGCTTGCTGTGGAGTGCGGGGTTACGGTGTTGTGGGGTTGCGGGCTGCGGGGTTGCGGTGTTGCGGGGCTGCAGGGGTTGCTGCCTTGCTGGGCTGCGGGGCTGCGGGGTTGCGGAGCTGCGGCGTTGCGGGGCTGTGGGTGCGGCTGTGGGTTACTGGTTGCGGGTTGCGGTGTTGCGAGGCTGCGGGGTTGCTGGGTGCTGGGTGTTGCGGAGCTGTGGGTTACTGGGTGCGGTGTTGCGGAGCTGCAGCGTTGCGGGGCTGTGGGTGCGGCTGTGGGTGCGGCTGTGGCCTGTGGGTAACTGGTTGCGGCCTTGAGGGGTGCAGCGGAGAGGGAGAGGCAGAAATGAAGAATGAGAGTATGAGACGATGCAATATCAACCCTAGTCCAAATTTCTACCTGTTGACCGCTAAAATGACACAAATACCCTTCTTTGTCGAGCTCAACCGAGCAGCTACTCGATAAAGAATCGAGTTCGAGCCTACTCGGCTCGATAACTAAACGAGTATTTGTCGAGCTCGAGCTCGGCTCGTTAATTGAAATTAACGAGCCGAGCTCGAGCCTTATCGAGCCGAGCCTTAACGAGCTATCGAGCTACTCGTTTCGCTTAACAGCTCTAGTAGTGATAGTGTGAATGACACTATACAAATGGTAATAATGTATATATCATCAATATATATAACATTTACTCTTATATATATATGTGTGTGTATTTATGTATGGGACTCAGCTTCGGCCCTCTTTTTCAATGACCATCGGATTCGGTAAGATGAGTTTAGTGGATTTCACCCATTTAAGATGTTATCCATGCAACTAGGGTTTGGCCTCCAAGAGAAAAAAGAAACGAAAAAGTACATCTGTAATCCTAATAGTGATGGATGATCTCTATAAGGTTACGAATAGGGAATAGGGGTGATATCGAGCCAAGTAGAGCTCGAATATCCGTTAAAACCAAGACTTTAAACTCAAATTGAATTGGTTGATTATATTAGTTCAACCAAAAACCGAGTAGTTATATATCCAATTTGAATTTACTTAAAGATCCACATAGCAAAAAGCCTATCAAATACGGAGAAAAATCATAGTTCACCATAAATCAGTAAAACAGGTAAAAACAAGATTTTTCTTCACTTTTTGGTTGTGCTACCCTTTTTTTAAAATTTTCCTCAACCATCTTAGCGAATCCAACACTAATTGATTTCTTAAACTAACACTCCTCAAAGATTTGAATTCAACAATGGAAAATTATAAGAAAATAGCAACAACAAAAAATAGAAAGAGAATTTAGAGGGAAAAGAAAAACACAAAGAGAGAGAAAAAGGTTTCAAGAAAGAGCAAAAAAAAAAAAGCGTTATTTAAAGAGTAAATTACATAAATTATGAAACTCATTTATTTTATAGAAAAAACCTAGTATTGGTTGTATTATATTCAACATCACAATTTTATCCCTAGTAAAACCTGTAACAATAGATTAAACCCTATATTTGGAAACCACGTTAGCCACTCATTTTGTGAGTTACAGTGACTCCTCGTCAATGCAACAGTGTCCATATATATAGGACTCATCTTCAGTTCAGCCCCCTTTTTTGCTTCGGTGACCACCAGATTCCGTAAGGCCGGCTTTCTGTAAGGATTTAGTGAATTTCACCATCTAGGATGTTATCCATGCAACTAGGGTTTGTCCTCCAAGTGAAAAAGAAAAAATGTACATAAGAATATGATGGATGATCTCCATAAGGTCACGCAGAGGATTCCTATTACTGTATATCTGCAAGGCTCGGCACACTTCCTTAAAGTGGAGTCAGTCCGCAGAAACTTAAGCTAAAATGTTGCCACAACTCTCTTCTTTTCATGCATCTATACATGTACGCAAGCGAGGCAAGATCAGAACAAACTAGCCCGGAATAAAATTCAATTTTTTCTTACTTTTATTCTATCTCTCTCTCTCTCTAATTATTTTGGAACATGCTTGAATGCATATCTGCGAGGATCTGCGATGATTTCTCGAGATGCATGAACATGAATGCCTCTATCCTCCAGGTTAAATACTCTATACGATTAAAATAGTTTTAATATGACACATTATTTTCTCAAATCAACCTATTGACCCATGTTAGAAACACTATATCATTTTAATCACTCATTTTAACCCATTTGATCATGTAATCGATTCAATGTTGTTGTTATTAAAACACACAATACATTTTTTGTAATATATAGTCAACACAAAATTTAAAATTTTTAAAACATTAAAAAAAATAGATGATGAAGGTTTTAAATGTATAATATAAGTTATAAAGTCAGCCTATTTTGATTGATATTTTTTTGAAAAACTTCTCCATTTTCTATGAATATTCCTTGTACACATTTTCAATCACCTTTTATTTCACATACAGTAAAATCTCTATAAATTAATAGCTTTGGGACTGTTCAAATTCTATTAATTTAAAGAGGTATTAATTAATCGATAAATTAATAACTTATTAATTTATCAAATGTACTTATAACTCAACGAAACACTCATTTAATTAACTTAAATTTTATTTTACTTTATAAAAATTATGAGTTATTCTATTAATAAAAGAGACTAAAAGTCTAAGAAATATAAACCAATCCATATCTACTTGATTTGCAAGTATAATTTAATTCTAGTGATGTTGTCAATGTACCTAAGTAACGGATATCATTTTTGTATTATGAAGAGGTAAAAAGCACTGGAAAATATTAAATGATAGATTCCACTTCTATTTCATTGAATGCATACAATGAGTCAGATTTACATTATGTATATAAATGACAAAAAGAACGTTCTTATATAAATAAACACAAAGTTTTCTTACATACCTCATTATTAAATTATGGTTTCCCGTTTAAAAGATGTTCATAAATCAACAACTCATGTTTTATGAAAATATGGTATGTAATTTTAGTAAATTATTAATTTATGATATGAATGGGGTCAAAGATTATGTAAGGTTTTTGAAAAAAAAAATTATAATCTTATTATTTTATCAAAATTATTAGTAGAACTCGTTCGCCCAAGTTAAGATTGAGAAAATTATCATTTAATAGAGGTTATTAAGTATTAACTTATTGAGATTTTACTATATATCACATCTTAAAAAGCTACTAAAGTAAATATTTTGTTTTAGAAACTCTCTAGAAAATAAGGTCCAATCAACCTTTTAAAAACACGATCAGATAGTTTCATATAAGATATAAAACATGTGAATTTTTAAAACTTGTAATTGAAATCTTTAAACCATATTTGATCGTTGTTAGTTTTTACTAAATAGTCAATATGCCATCTATAGTGTTTGATTATTATCATAAAGTAAGCTCTTTATCACTTTAACCAATAATGATCCATTAAAGTCCGGTCACACTAAAACAAACCTAATTTCGGATCGTGTCGTCTTGTCTTGTCGTGCTGTCTTGTCATGCACTCATTGCCAAAAATTGCCACCGCTTTTATACAGAGGACCCTTCTTTCCCCAGTTATGTCTTCCCAAATTATTCCGATAGTATCACAAACAACAGATAGTAGTGCAGACCATAATCAAAAGGGGTGAATTCTTAGTTTAGATGGAAAAAAAAAGAATTTTACAACGAGAACGGTTCTTAGAGTGTATTTTGCAAATAGAGGTCTTCGCATTCCACGAATGCGAGCTCACTGAGAGCTGGATGAGTGCCAAGACAAGGCTACGTTACAGTCTTCGTCGGCTTGGCGTGGCATAGGTACAGGTGCTGGTGGATGTAGTCGCATTGTCTCTTTGACAATGGCCCGTAGGTAGACTAAATTCTTGATATCAGATTCTTCTACCCATCTCTCTTTACCAACAGAAGAGTCAATCTCTTCCTGGGCTTTTTGCAAAACGTGCCTATGGTTCAGTAGTAGGGAGATAACCCAGCTCAACGCCCTTAATGTGGTACTAGTTTCTGCTACAATAAGCACCTGCAAGCAAAAAAAATAATAATAATAATAATGAAAAGTAACAAATAGAACTATGCATGTGTACTTTTTCTCCCATTTAAATGTATTATAATAAAATAAGTATTTCCAACCGTACAATTACCAATTTTTTTTTATTATAAAAGAATTATACATGTATAGTAAATTATATTAAGTTTGAATTTCATTTTAAATTTCGTAAATTTCATTTTAAATTTTTTTCCTAACAAGTTTAAATTTAATTTTCTGAAAGTCATACTTATAAATGCGAAATCTAACAAAAAAGTTAAATACAATTTTTGGAGGACAAATTTATCAAATGCGAGTTATTTGCAAAATTTTTTTAAAAAAACATTTAGGAGCTCGCATTTAGCTCTTACTATTTTCTGGAAAAAATTCTCAAGCTCGGACATCCATTCATGATAGTCAGCTTCGTTTCTTTGCTTTGCCTGCCCGAAAGAAAGAAATAGAGTCAAGTGTAATTTTTTTTTCTTTTTGGAAGATTTGCAGTTCAAGAAAACTAACATTGAAGTCTCTGATGCCTCCAGTGCGGGCCCCCTAACGCTTTTGGTGCTAACAGGGGCCTAGCCATCGTCTGAGCTAGCCTTTCCAGTTCATGACGATTGGTGCTAATCAGGGAAGTGGAATTCATTCTCTGACCCAGGAGCTCCTTTCTTTTTTGACGAATATAGAGGCTGCTAGAGAGCTCCGGGGGAGCTAGTTAAAAAAATTAAATTAGAGCTCGCATTTGCGGAATGAGCTCGCATTCCCCGAATGCGAGCTCTATTCTAATCTTGCATTCGTGAAATGCAAGCTCAGTATCAAAATCACCTCTTTTATAAAATTTTTTTAAAATTCATCACAAAATTAGAAATTTCTCTAATCAAAAGAGAACGAGAGCATATGTGATTGATTTAAAATGCAGAAGCAAATTCAAGCTGTCATGCTTTGCTTACTCCTGGTAGGCTTAGACGGACCGATGGACGTTCATGGGGTTGCTCAAGGCCACGAAGGAGTTGATGAGTGGTTCCATAAGCTCGACCGGACAAAAGAGAAGGTAACAAGACTTCATTTCTACTTCCACGACACCGTTAGCGGAAAAAGCCCAACGGCGGTGACCGCGGCCGGTGCCAAACTGGCATCGCCCACAATGTTCGGCCTAATTAATACGGCGGATGACCCAATGACGGTTGGTCCTGAACTGAACTCAACGCTACTAGGTCGAGCACAAGGCATTTATGCATCCGCTGACCAGAACGAAGTCGGACTAGCCATGTACATGAATTACTACTTCACAGCAGGGAAGTACAGAGGAAGCACCCTGAGCCTCCTTGGAAGAAATGCAGGATTGCATAGCATCCGAGAAATGTCCATCGTTGGTGGCACCGGTGTTTTCCGGTTGGCACGGGGAATTGCTACCGCCAAGACTTACTTTGTCAATGCTACCACGGCGGATGATATCGTTGAGTACAACGTTGTGGTTGTACACTATTAATTGGAGAAATTTTTATCTCATTCGAAAGACCAAATGCTAAGCTTGCCAACCCGGGGCCAGATTAAATATCTCCTATTGAAGACTCTCTAAGAACAATAAAAAAAAAATTGTCACATGAAGGGGAGATTGCAAGAGATAATTGCTTTATTTTTATCTTATTTTTTTGTTTTTCAATTTGATCTTTCAACTGAAGACGAACCAAATAATTGGTGGAAGATGCTCATGCTGTCAACTTTGTAGTCCTGAGTAATCAAGCAAGATAATTTGCTTTTCCCTTCCCCTCATCAGCAAAGTCAGCTATGTTTCAAGATATTGCTCTCGGACAAACACCTTCAACAAAATCAATTAGTAATACAAAAGACCGATGCTCTGGGAACAACATCTACGCTATACAGATTCTCCACATAAAGAATACTGAGTTTGGGACTTTAGATGGTAGCTACTACTGCAATGTTCAGAACAAAATTTGTCGGATTATTATCACCATATCGTTCCTAGAGAATATTAATAAATTTACGACCAAAAACTTATCGTTTTCTATCTTTACAGGACTTGTACATTCAGCAACACACTAGTGACCTGGACATCCCAGAAACACCAAGTGTGACTATGTAAGTTAACAAGGAGAGGAAGTAAAAGAAGCATTATATGCAGTAATGCCTTAAACATACAGCAACTCGGAATTACGGCCCGGCCAATGAGCATGGAAAAGCCAGCATAGTCAATCTCATACGTGAGGAAAGAATTAAGTACCTGGCAGGAGGAGGAGTAAATGCTTTAATGGATCAATTTAACTGATGTTGGACCTGAAGATGAGAAAAAGACCTTGGTGGAAGGTCAAGTCTGAAGAAGAAGGTAGTAAAACATTTAAGCTAAAGTGGACGAGTTCACTATACTGATCGACAAATTAACACTTGTCATTTGGCCATTAGAAGTTAACTCACCCAAAGGAGGAAATGATAGTGGCCTAGTCTCCATATTACAGCCGATCAATGGATGCACCACGCCCTGGTAACCATCACACAGTTACATATCAGTATGAATTCAAAAATTTTTCAGTTTAAAATTATAAGAATCATAGCAAATATCATATTAAAAGAGATGACTAGTTTATTTTGCTGAATCTTGTGATCATTAGTATAATTTTATTACTTATTTATGTTGTTTAATTTATTAAATGTGAACTTTTTTGAACGGTAAAATGTGTGTATTAATTGTTTCTAACTTTTAATTATTATTTTTTTCTTTTACAAATACAACTTATATATATGCGTAACGGGTATTTATGAAATAAAAGTTTCATCTCTCTTCTTAAAGTACTATTTTAATATTACTTTTTCTAATTAGACTAATTTTGTTATCAAAAACTTTAATCTCAGGGGAGATTTGTGTAATTTTACAAATTTCAAGAGAGGCTAGTGAGATTTTCAAAAATCTCATGGGAGGTTTATGAAATTATCTCTTAAAAAAATGATTTATCTTTCATACATTGGCAGTTTATATATTATTAGGTATGAATACATGATAATTAATTTTGATTTGAATTTAAACCTCAAGTTTTGTATAGATAACATGAAATATTATATATACGCTGACCATAAAATTATAACATGAAATATTATATACGCTGACCATGTAACGAAAACTATGGTGGTAAAGTAAGCAAGACCTATCAAAAGAGGGTCACAAAACTCACTTTGACATCCAGGACATGATTAGTGGGAAAGCCCAACAACGGTGACTGGCTGATGTTCGGCCTACTTAACATGGCTGATGAGTGATTGCCCATTGACAGTTGACCCTGAGCCCCATGAAACGATACTAGGCTGAGCCCAAGGAGTTTTGGATCTGGTGACAAGAAATAAAGTCGGACCGGACCAGTCATGTAGATGAATTAGTACTTCAGAGTCTGTAAATACTGGGAAAGGGTTTAATTGAATCGTAAATTAAGAGAGATTATAAAGAAGAATTCAACGCATAGCATTTACAAAAGTAAAATCAAAATCAAAATTACAAAAGAAGCCCCTTTTGACTTTTGGAGAACTGCATGGTTGGAGAACCTTCCAAAAGTGTCCATTGTTGGTGGCAACCAGTTGTACATGAGTTAGCAAAAGATGTGTGCTCTAGTGGTACTGCCTTGACCATAAAAGGAAGTGGGTCCTCACATCTCCTAAACTATTTCCTATCAGACCAAAAAAAAATTACAAATAATCTCCTTATAGTTTCACTTATTGTCACACGATTCTCTAATTTTTTAAAATATTCATTTCATTCTTCTATAGTTTTATGCAAAGTGAAAACTTGACCGAGAATAACATATCCATTGTCATTAGTTAAAATACCAATAACGCCCTTACTTAAATGAAAACTCAAACAATGGCTTAATCATTTTATGTAAAATTATAAGGGGATTACGTCGATAAGTGCAAAAATCACAAAGGAATAAAGTCAATATTTATATAAATCATAGGGTTAAGTATATAGTATGATTTCATCACGTGCACTTTTGGAGTGTGCCTTGTATAATCGCCGTAACTGATTATGCATTCCGTCCATTTTTCACTTAATTAACACAAAATCACATAAGGGTTTTTCATATGGCTATTTTGAAACCTTAATTGGGTCATCCAGTATTATGCAAAACTACAGGAGGTTATAAGTAATTTAGCCAAGAAAATGGAAATATTGTCGCTCTTCTATATATTAGATGAAGAACAAATATCCCTCCCTATCTCAATGTAAGCAAGAAATAATTAATGATGCTTTCCACATATATATATATATATATGTATATATCCTTTTACTAGGAAAAAAAATTAAAGAATAGTTATCACATGGACAGGCAATTGAAAGAGATATAAGTTTGCTTATGCTTAGATTAGTGTGTTTGGATAGTAAATTATTTGGGATAATTTTTCAAAAAAAAATATTGTAACACTTTTTTTATATGATGTGTGTGAGGTAAAAAAGTAGTTGAATAATGTGTTAATGATACAAGTAGATAAAAATTTATGAATAAATTACAATCCTACCTACATTTTTAATGTGAATTTTCAACTAATGATGCATAAAACAATTCCTTTAGCAGCTGCACATACACTGAAAGTAAAGAAGACACGGTAAGTGAGACGACTTGCATGTCTCTTCCGGTCTTCCCCTGTGGAAAACGAGCTTATACTTTTTGACTATCACCTTGACCATGTGGAAACAAAAAATCAGCAGACACCCTGGGAACCACATTGATGCTAAACGTAAAGGAAAACTGAATGGTTGGACTTAGATGGCAGATTGAATTGAAATGTTCCACTCATGAAATATGTTAAGTGAAATTTGGTGATCAGCAAGTTGTACAAATGCACCACCAAGATGAAGCAACAAGAGAAACTGAGAGACGTGAAACCACTGCAGCTAATAAAAGCTTTCGGTTCTGTTTTTTCAGGGCCGCAAACAGCTTCAGCATCATGCAAACGTTCGTTGATATGGGCCAACGTTTTATTTTTCCAATAATATGTCTGATATGCACTTGTTTTTGCGTTACCCGTGCTGTAAAATGTAGAAAAGGATTAAAAAGAAGCAGCGCTTGCCCTTGTTCTGGTTCTAAGGTGAGGGTTGGGGGAAGAGCCCGCCAACCTAGAAAACGAGGCCTAATTAACACACATTAGCACCTTAGAAACTCCAAAAGGCCCAGCCAATGGTAAAAGGGCGGCATTGTCAATCCGATGAGAACCCCACAGACCTGGTGTTAGGAGAGAGAGAGAAGGGGAGTGGTTGTATGCATTTGGGGAATTGGGTTCACATTTGAACTTGAATTGAGCATAAGTCTTGGTCAATGGTGGAGTCAGAAAAGTTTTTCAGAGAAGGCAAATGCATGAGCATAACACTGAGTTTGTTTGGATAAGAGTTTATTTGGATGATTTATTTGAGATATTTACTGTAGCATTTTTTGTGATGTGATATATGTGAGATAAAAAGGTGATTGGAAAGATAAAAGGGTGATTGGGATTTGTGAGAATAAATTTTGCAAACCAAATTCTCTCTATCCAAACAAACTCACTGTGATCAGCACCTCATAATTAATATTGCACCCTTTCAAACTCGGAAAAAAATCTAAGGTGGTGTCAAAGCACCTCTTTAATCTTTTTTTTTTTTTTATCGACACAGAAGTGTTCGGATCAATCTTTATGGGGCCCGATTAATTTCCTGTGATTCGGATCCGGCACCCCATTCTGACCCGAACACGTTAAGTGTGCAGAGGAATCCAGCGGAGCGGAGACTCGAACTTGTGAACTTGTGACCTCTTTGATCTATTCCTACCTAATTTATTGAAAACAAGCACACTCTTTTATCCCTATCAGCAGCCGACGCTCGTCTGATGCGGTGATGCCCCGTCTCCCCTAGAATCTCTACCACTGGAGTATCAACAAATTCTCCCATCGCACACCTTTTTTTCCGTTTTCTTTAATGTAAGGTTTTCTTCTTTTGGGAATACATAACGAAGAAGCGGATTTAAGAAGATTGGGTTTTCAACTTTGCAGCAGAAAAAGGAAATCAACAAATCGGTTATTAAGAGTAAAAATATTCTAGATCTCTTCATTATTAGCTTTATATGTTGTCTGTATCTTTAATGGCTTTTACGTTATCTTTTTAAAAAATTTTTATAGTGTATAGATCCATAATGCTGCTAATTTCATTGTTCCTGAAACAATTCTAAGTGGCTAAATACTGCAAATTAAAAGCAGAACATGGTACGGTAAAGCCGGTAACTAGAGCAGAAAGGAAGCATTTTGTCAGGACAGAAGAAATAAGCTAAAATTAGGATACATTGTAACAGTGACGTTTGGGGAATAATTGTAGTGCAGCGATGATGTTTTGTGAAATGATAGGAATTAAAGGGGATAAGTGGAACGGTGTCGTAGGGAAGGCTGAGTTAGTTAGGGGAGTCACGTGGATTGTAACAGAAATTGGGTAGCGGTAGTTAATTCATCCTATTTGTACACAAT